TCTTCCTAGTGAGCAGGGGCTTCAGGACACTGCAGTCTACAGCATTACATCCCTTCAGGACTGGGATATCCAAGCAAGACTGTATGTTCCCTGAACATTTAAAATGCCTGTAATATGTAGCCCCCTACATATACAATATGAGTGGCATAATCAGACACTGTGACCATGCACCTCATTGCTCCCTTCCTTGCATACTGCCTTGAGGTCACCCTGTTGGCATTCTTCAAAAGCTGGCCTTCCGTTCAGGCGCCTTGCTGGCGCAGACTTGTCCTTTCATAGTCCCCTGTTTAATAACTCCTGGCTTTCAGAGAAGACCCTCTTCAAAATGACCATCTGCCCTTGTGTAGAGAGGCCTTCCCAGAATCCTCTCTGTGGTGCTACAGTCTGCTGAAGGCTAGCAAAAGTTTTCAATTAAAAATGAGTTACTATGACTAGGGGAGTGGGGCCTACTATAGCATGTATTCTGAAATCAGAGGAAAATTTATAATAGCAGGTTCTGTCTTTTAATACTTGGGTTCTGTGGTTCCGACTCTGGATGCCAGGCTGGGTGGCAAACCCCTTTCCCTGCTGGGCCACCTTGCCAGCCATTTTTTTTTTCAAATTAACCTGAAACAATACACTTTAAGAATCCTTGCCTTATTCCTACACCAAAATTGTTTTCCTTTTAATGCCCTTAGAAAGATTGCCATTGACACACACACACACACACACACACACACACACACACACACACACACACACACACACACACACACACACGGTTTTAATAACACAGGCTTTATTGTAAGCTTCTCTGCCTCCCTTTCAAATTCCATGGCTCCTGGTAGACCCTGCAGCTCCCTGGGGGTGGGATCTGCCTGTGAGGTGTTATTCTCAACACAGGAATGAGGATGATTTGAAGGGCACAGTCACCACGGTACAGAATTGATTTTTTCTGCAGAGATTGATTCCCAGCATCATTCTTTCCTTGTAGGTATATCATACCCCAGAATGTTAGCATACCTATAAGCATGAGTGTCCTGTTAAGTTTAAGTGGTAGAAAGTTTTCTCATATGAATAAAGAATGATATTTTTTTCATTATAGATACATCTGGAGTTCCCTCTGCATACCATTCACAGGCATGGAAAACATAGCACACAGCTCAACTATAGCCCATGGCTACTTGGGTAAAGTATTTAAACTGTTTGGCCTAATGGCTCAGGCTTCTAGCTAGCTGTTCTTATATCTTAAATTAACCCATTTCTATAAATCTATACCTTGCCACATGGCGCGTGGCTTACCAGTATCTTACATGTTGGTACTCATGGCAGCGGCTGGCAGCGGCTCCTTGCCTCAGGCTTCCACTTCCCAGAATTCTCTTCTCTGCTTGTCCCGCCTATACTTCCTGCCTGGCATTTTATTTATACAGAGCGATATCCACAGCACACAGCCATACTCATTTGTAGAGGCTCAGTGGCGCCGCTTTACAAATCATGTGGCTTGTTTAACCCCAGAGGGAGTGTCTTCATTATCAACAGGAAGCAGGACGGGAAGAAGCTGACAATGACAGTGGCCCTGGAGTCAGAGCCCCCTTACGCCTCCATCTCTCACAGGCTGACACAACTCAAGCTTATACAGTAGAAAGTATCTGAGAAACTCCTGGGCCTGCAGCCCACAGCATGACTGTCAAAACCTCCTTCCACCTTCTTATGTGAAGCCCTTTATGGTTGTTGGATGATATTCTGTCTTACCAGTTTGTTATCCCTGACCTGTTAGCATAACTGAGAAAAGGAGTGCTCATACTGATTGATGTAAATTATTTTAAGTAAATCACCAGTTGCATATCTTTATCAGGGTGCTTATAAGGTGATTTTAAAGCATTAAATGAGATATATAATTTGCTACGATTTAAATAGTTAACTAATATAATATCTGTAAAGGAAAGGGAAATCTTAGGAAGGTTAAGTAATTGAAGCATTTATCAGAGAGGTTTCTGTACTGTTGTTGACCTCTGTCTCCTTAACTGTGTCTTCCTAATTAGCCACTTAATGGTGCCTAGAAATACAACTGCTCAAGGAAAGATTTTCTTTACATTAAGGTCAAGAAAAAAAAAATCCCAAAATATCTCGCCGAGGGGAAGCTATCACACATTTTATATTTTATGACATTTATTATGTCTAATAAATATTCACCTAATGGCCTTGCCTTTTTTTAGACTGCATCCAATACACACGTACCACAAATGCAGAGTGAAAAGGCACATACAAAGGGTGATAAGCATCATATTTCAGCAGTTTTAGTTTTTTTGTTTGTTAGTTTGTTTGTTTTTGTTTTTCCAGACAGGGTTTCTTGTGTAGTTTTGGTACCTGTCCTGGATCTCGTTTGTAGACCAGGCTGGCCTGGACCTCATAGAGATCCACCTGGCTCTGCCTCCCAAGTGCTGGGATTAAAGGCATGCACCACCACCGCCTGGCTTTCAGCAGTTTTTACACAGAAATTTAGAGGATCATAAACCCTCACGGGTGAAGTGGTTTAGTGAAGGCTGCTCAGGTGAGGTGTGTCTGCCTCTCTGGTTCGTTTTTTTATGATTTTATTTTCAATTATATGTAGATCTCTGTCTCTCTGTCTCTCTGTCTGTGTGTGTGTGTGTGTGTGTGTGTGTGTGTGTGTGTGTGTGTGTGTGTGTGTGTGTGTCTGTGTGTCTGTGTGTCTGTGTGTACACGAGTTCAGTGTTCGTGGAAGCCAGAGGAGGTTGCTGGGTCCCTGGAGCTGGAGTTACAGGTGGTTGTGAGTCGTAGCTATGGACATGCTGGAAACATAACTCTGTCTGTAAGAGCAACAAGCACTTACCTGCTGGTTCATCCTCTAGCCCATGCTCATCTGTGTCTGTACCCAGACAGCCAGCTACATTCCCACACATGCAAACATAGGGTCTTTAAACTCAACAATACTTCTTAAAAATGATAATGTATCCATTACATCTTCTAATTTGAGTGGACTGAGACAACTTACTAAGAATTTACTGTGAACTCTAAGCAGTAATAATTTTTAGGCCCCAGATTTGTTCCTTTTTCAGTATGTTTTCCATTTAGCTGTATTTTTTGTGATCTTTTGGATGGAAAACCAATCTGAAATATATTACTGTCTGGGGCCTTAAATATTCTTCCACAAGGAACAGGAGTTACAGTTGGAACTCCAAGCTTCATTTACCTGCATTGAATATTCAAATAAGGGCAGTCAATATTCTGGAAGGGTCATAGATTTTTTTTAAATTGAATTTATAAATGGTAGATGAGTTATTACAAATCTTTATCTTCAAAATTTTATCAGTCCCCCTATGAAACAGCATTCTCATGATTTGGTGGCTTTATTTGTACAATAGGCGACACATGTTTAAATATTAATTTGGTAATTTAAACCAAATTTAGATTTTTTTCATTATAAAATGATAAACTGTATGTTTAGGCATTACAAATAATGAAGAAAGGTAATGATTGTTAATACAATGAAGAGTAACCCCAGTGAACCACGATCTGCATAACCTCAAACATCAAAAATATTCTGTGACAAGGACATGAGAAAATCCCTCCCATGATTTCTCTACTCAGCATGTTACACGGTATATACCTCCAGAAAAATCACGTCTATTCTACTTGTGCCATATAGAATAAAAAACAAAGAGAAAACTATTTTTAGGATGCATTCACAGCTAAATGAAAAATATAAAACTGAAAAATATTTTAATATTTATTTTCATAAAACATATTTTAATGTTTAATGAAATATTTTATTTTAAATATACATATATGTGTGTGTGTGTGTGTGTGTGTGTGTGTGTGTGTGTGTATGTGTGTGTGTGTGTATACCTGTGTATGAACACCACATGAGTACAGGACCCACTGAAGCCAAGAAAGGACATCAGTTCCCATGGAGCTGGAGTGACAGGTAATTGTGAGGTAGGTGGGAACAGAACTTGAGTCCTCTGCAAGAGCATTATGTCCTCTCAATGGCTGAGCCTTCATCTCTGACCCTGAGCACAGGTGTTTATATAGTGCCTGCTAGCTCATGACAATAAAGTAGCTGCTGCAATTACACTGGAAGACAGTAGACGGTGTGCTCATCCTGGAGTCGCATGTTACTTTAAACCAAAGCAGGTAGCAGAGAAGATGTCAACTGTGTAAAGTGATCTGTGTGTGTTTCATATATTGCAAATTATAATTATTTCTTTGTATGTTCTATTTCCTGAAGTACTATGTTCCAACCTTAAGTGAGTTATTTGGTTATAAATTTTACTCAAGACTACCGTGGTTTTGTCGAAACGATTCAGTTTCTTCACCCATTTCCATAAGGTTTTATCTGATTTTATTTCCGTTGATTTAAATCAGTGAGAGACAAGTAGGCTGTTCCTCTTCCCTCTCACTGATGCTATGACCAGTCAAATCTCATCTTCATTCTCATTTTATGATTCTGAAGTTCTAAAGCTATTTCTGCAACTGAAGCATGAACCTCACTTCAGAAACACATAACAGCACATTGATTTTCATCCAGAAAAATCCAAGTTGTGTCTGTAACACTTAGCTGTGGTTTTTCGAACCACCAGGTTCAATAGGAACAGTGGATCTGTCAGCTCTTTGACACTGTGTGTTGGATGCAAGGCTTCTGATATGTTACCACTGGGGTGTTCTCCAAAAGAATGAGCTAATCAATGGGGAATAATAAGTGTAAACAGAGTCGAAGGCTTGCTTATTTTGAATGTACTATAGAAGAAAGCCCTGATAACGAAAGAGTTTTGTAAACTCCCCGATCAGTTCCTTTTTCTTCTTTCTGGCTTAGATGCATCAGTTAAAATAAATCTACTTAAAGATTTTTGAACAGTCCTCACTAATTAAATTCTAGGCATGGTGAATAAATTTAATGGGAAATACCAGTCCAAGTCCAAGTACTGTTGTTTTGTTTTTTCCCTACAGGGGAGAAAAAGTACATAAGGTTACAACTCTATGGAACAGTAGCCACTACTCACCTTGCTGTCTTGTCTCTGTGCCCTCACTGACCCATGACTTCAGCCTTTTGTAATGAAGGATGCTTCCATAACCCTAAAGAGAAAGTGACTGGTCAGAGGCAGGTTAAAAACAAACTTGCAAAGTACAGAATAAGAGAGTTACTTATTTACTTACATGTTACATTGATGCTTGAAAGAAAGTGTTACAGAAGATGAAGCACAAATCTTACCATCCTAAGTGAAAAGTTCGAATAGAGAAACTGTCAATCCACTTATTGGAAACTTGGCCCAGGGCATTTGGGCTGTCACCCAGGTACTAGGGTATGTACTTAGAAAATGAAAATTTACTTTGCACTGAAAACCTTGTTAAGACAAGAGTCTGTCTGTCCCTAGTGAAGAATCACGGAATAAGTTCTTCTTAATGATACCTGAAAACATACTGCTTGGTAGTATGGTCAGCAGACTCAAGGAAAGTAATTAAACACCATGAACTTTACCACTGAGGCAGAGGTTGAGGCCCATTAATAGCAAGTGCTTGCCTAGCATGTGCAGAACCTTGGTTTCACTCTCAGTACCACCAAAAATATAAAATAAAAGATACTTTTGAGTCTAATTATTTTAAGATTTATTTTTAGTTTTAATGATGTGGTGTGTGTGTGTGTGTGTGTGTGTGTGTGTGTGTGTGTGTGTGTGTATGTAGAGGTGGGCATGTGCATGTGAATATACTGCTAGAAGAAAGAGTCAGATCCACTGGAGATAGAGTTATAAGTGTGAGCCACTGCAGGGGTGCTGAGACAGGAATCTGAATTCTTGAAAAGGGTAGTCCTCTATCTGAAATTTTTATCATATGCCATTATTATCACATTGACATTTTTATCAGTAGATTGTTTGGGGAAGGAGAAACCAAAAAAGTTTGTTACTATGAATTGCTCAGTCAAGGCATTTTAGTTATTATTGTCATTATTATTATTATTATTATTATTATTATTATTATTATTGGCATATGATCTTCTCAAAGTTGTAGAACCTATCTGAACTAATCATATATCTTATGTATATATCAGAAATCGGCATAGCAGTAGATGGAAAAACCTGTATTTTGTCTTCAGCACATGATTTTTCAGGGTGTATATGTAAAAAAAAGTTAATTCCTAGCTGCTATAATTACTTACCAGCATCCTTCACTAAACACAAGTGCTCATCCCACGAGAACCATGACAGGATGTTCTTTCAAGATGAGAGCATGTACAAATGAAGGTGTGTGTGGGTTTTTTGATTGTTTATTTATTTATTTTTGAGTTTTAAGCAGTGTACTTAGTATAAGCTAAGGCACAAAAATTTACAAGCAGCTACTAAGAGAGCAGTTTTGTGACTGGAAGGATTAATTCCAGACATTCCTGAGAGTGAAGTGACCACTTTGCATAGTACTATGCATAGTGAATGGCCACTCCAGAGTCCCTGGGTGCTGAATCATAATGAGACTTGTGTGGAGTCTCAAAGGCCTCCTGCTACTCAGAATGTGACAAAAGCTCACGGAATCATTTTCTGTCTACTTCAAGAGCACACAGCTAGTCATTACCTCTTCCTGCTGAGAGAGCTCACACACTGTACCACTTTGAAATTTTGTCTTACATAATATTTATGGTATTGTTAGAATATAAAAATAAAATGAGAGGTGCAATAGGGAGAGGCAGGCCTGTGCATGTTAAAACATGCAGGAATTAAATATATGCTTCTATTGAATCGGTAATTATTTTATGTTATCTCCGCTGAGAAAACCCTTATTCAATGTCACATTGTTTTTTTTTGAGAGATGACAATAGCTTTGTACATTTTCAAACCTTTTAGATACATAGGTCAACAAAAGATATGCTTTATGCAAATTTAAGTGAAATCAGCCAAATCATAGTCACCAGCAGTTCCTTTAGATGACAAAGTGTCCTCCACAAAGGAACAACCATTGCCTTGTAGTTGACTAGTGCCATGTATACCCTTAATTTTTCTTTTCTTTTCTTTTTCTTTTTCTTTTTTTTTGCAAGTTTATTTAGCTGTAGAATTTCTAGTCGATAACAAGAGAACACAAAGAGTCCTAGATGTCTGTTAAGTTCTTCTTTAATTCTCTGACACACATGGGATCTATATCCATACTGTTAAAACCCACCAAAGAATTAGAGAAATCTTAAACTATAGAAGGAAAAAAACAAGAATCAAGTCTATTGTCAATGTCAACAAGATTGCATGAGTGGGAAGTGTGTCTATGTGGTCATCCAATGTCCTTGCATTCTATCCTGATTTAATTTCATAGGAAGTCATGGTTAGTTTGATAGGTGAATATTCATATAATATGACTTGATTTGTCCTAGTTTTTTTTTTTTATGTTGCTGTGATAGAATGAAACCAACTGTTTGGAGAAAAGTGTTTATTTGGCTTGTAGTTCTAGGTTGCAGTCCTTCATTGTGTAGAAGTCAAGGCAGGGACTTGAAGCAGTTGATCATGTTACTTCAACAGCCAAGAGCTCATAATTCCATATTCGAGAGAACAGAGAATGAGAATGCATATACCCACACTTATTGCTCAGCTCTCTTTTTCTCTTCTGACTCACCAATGACTCCAAGATCAGGGAATAGTGTTACCCATATTCATAACAGGTATTCCCATCTCAAGGAACCCAGTTAAGAAAGTCCTTCCACATACATGTACACAGGCCAACCTGACACAGACAATCCTACATTGAGATGCTCTTCCCAAGCAAGTTTAGACTATGGCAAAGAGGCAATCAAAACTGGCCATCACTGGGATTGCAGAGATGGCTCAGCAATTAAGAGCACTGGCTGTTCTTGCAGAGGACCAGGGTTTGGTTTCCAGCACTGACAACCACTCCTAACTGTAGCTCCAGAGAATCTGAAGGCTCTCTTTTGACCTCTAGGCATGGGAAATTTGTGGTGCACACATAGGCATGCAGGCAAAACTTACATATAAAATAAAAACAAGTAAATCTTTAAAAAGGACAAACCTAAAAAAATCTAACCATCACAAAGGCAGCTGACTTGGGAATTTAATATTAAAATTGCCAATTTTGACAATTTATCAATTACTTTGTATCTCCTTTATATCATTTTTTGAAAACTATATCATATGGACATGAACTCTGCCATACTTGACTAATGATTTGGTAGTGTAGAAGTGTCTTACAGCATATCTGTAGAAGTTAAATTTCCACATAGTAAAGCACAGCTTTTTTCTTTTAGTTTTCATAATTCCTCCCTTAAATTGAAATTTTCTTCCTTAGCCTAGATAACCGATATGCACTTCTCTGTAGCTCATATCAAAATATAACAATATATTGTATTCATGTGAAATTGGCTTTCATGGAAAGTGGACTTCGTGGGTCCCAACATGAATTTCTATATTTAAAATGTTCTTATTTCCCACAGATAGGATATTTTGCCAATCCGTCCTGACCACAAAGATACTCAATTTTACAGAAAACAGAAGACTCTTGTCACAGAACTACCATTGTAGTCTCGCTTCCTGTAATGAAATCTTGTGGAACTATTATTCTGTGTCATGATGTGAATTCATTTTGAAATGATACTGGAACTACACACATGGTTCAGCAGCAGACTGCTTCCCTGGCTGGCTGCGAGGCTTGGGCTTGCTTGATCCCTAGTACTAAAGCCCCGTCCAATAAAAAAAAAAATAGAATTGCTTACTTTTATTATTTTTGTCTTAGTTTAGAATTTACATGGAAAAATACTTTTCATCAAATTAAATACTGTCAAATTCTTCAGAAACCTAAAGGTGAGCTAGCCTGTCTATAATATTCAAAGAATAATTAATAAATTCCTCCCAGAGAGTTTGCCAACGTGGGCTGTTAGGGTCTTGTTCAGGTGCAACTGCAGATTATGCAGAACATCAAAAGAACATTCTAGAATGCTGAAGAGATTCAGGGAAGGACAAGGTTAGGAAGAATCCAGAAGATGGTTTCCAAGAGTACTAAGAATTTTGATAGAAATTTGACAAAAGATGAAGCCATCAAATGAAGTATGAAGAGAGATGAGATCAGAACTGGCAAACATAAAAAGACAGGAAAATGTGCAACGAAGTTGATAACCCTGAAACAGCATGGTTTAGCTCCGGTTACATGAGTTGTGAAAAGGAGAAGGATCAGGTCCTGGACACTGTGCCTAAAGAGATTGAATCCCATGCCTTTGGCATGGAAAACATTTATATATTGGTTCCAATGTGTACATTAGTAAAATTAAAGTATATAATTAAGAATAAGGATAGATATCTACCCATCACTCAGGGTACAGGTGACTGATGAACTGGACCAGCCAATCTGAGTCTACATCACAGAGAAAAACAATGTAGTTACTGAGGTGAGACTTGCGCATTGTAAATTAGAAGTAAAGTTGTACTTTCAGTATCCTAGAAACTGCAAGGACCAAAAAATAATAGAATCAAAATTTGTTTGTTTGTTCCTCGTGGTAAAATTGTTGTAAAATAAATTTTATTTAATTTGGATTAATTAAAGTTAACATATTAATTGCTTGTTTCCTAAAATATACAATAATCTCTGTGTATAAATAAGATTCCATCATGGAAACTTGGGCATCTTGTGCTTTTTTTCTCACTCTACCTTCAACTGTAGAAGGTAGAGTTTTTATTATATTATTATTATACTTCCAATTATACCTCCCAGATGGCCTGTGGAAAATGTTTGAATTATTTTCCTCTAACACACATGTGGCAGTCATTTTGTTCAGCCTGTTTCAGACCACTAGGATTAAAGCAGCTTTGATGTCATTGTCCTTAAATTGTAGCAAGGAGAATAACAGCTAGAGAAAAAAATAAACTAAGAAAAAGTAACTCTAAAGGGAGGACATTGGCTTGAAGAGATTACATCAGAGAAATCTATGATGGCAATGAGTGGGGTACAACTTTACTGGGGGTCAGTGGCAAAGCTAAGTCAGTTGTCAATCCGTAAGATGAACCCCAACCTAGGCCCTCTGCGTATATGTAACAGTTGTGTAGCTTGGTCTTCTTGTGAGACTCCTAACAGAAGGAGCAGGGGCTGTCTCTGACTCTTTT